AAAAAAAAAGAGTTTCATGGACTTTTTTTTTGCCGAGGCTGGCTTTGAGCCATGATCCTCAGATCTCAGTCTCCTGAGTAATTAGGATTACAGACATGAGTCACCAGTACCCAGCTTGGATTTTTTTTTTGTCAATTGTGGAGCTTGAACTCAGAGCCTGGGTTCTGCCCCTGAGTTTTTTCATTCAAGGCTAGCACTCTACCAGTTTGAGACACAGCTTCACTTCTGGTTTTCTGGTGGTTCGTTGGAGATGAGTCTTCCAATCTTTCCTGCCTAGGTTGGCTTTGAACTGCAACCTTCAGATCTCAGCTTCCTGAGTAGCTAGGATTATAAGTGAGACCCATGGATACACAACTCTTCCTTGGACTTTGATGACCATAAAGGAAAACTCAAGAGAATCAAAGATACAAGACCCTACCTATATTGTGATGAGTGGTTTTGTCAAGACTTTAGCTACCACTAGAAGAATTATTGTTTACCTGCAGCTGAAGGCATCCATCATGGGTACAGGGACTGTGAGCACACCACTGAGTTTAGGTACTTTAAAGAAGACAGAAAGCAGGTGAGACCACACTGAAGGGTGACTCACTCAGGTAGCTTGCTTGTAGTTTCCAAGAACAGGTAGCAGCTTCTACCAGACTTGAGGGCATATGGGAACCAAAGCCAGGGTTAGGGCCCAACAAGTTGGGAGAAGAGGTTCCCCTGCAAACTTACCCCTCTCACCTTTGTACAGGTGCCTAAGGGATAAGTCAACAGAGAGAAAATTGGTCCCTGCACTTACGGGTATCCACCTTGATGTCCCAGTCAACCCAGCAAACCCTGGTCTTTGACCTTGTTGTGTACCCTGTGGGTACCTTGGGAAGTGGCAAGTAACAAGTCAAAGTGTTCTAGGGAAGAAGGTAAAACCATTGCAGGCTGCCATATTTTCAGAGCACATGCCCAGCAATAAAAAAAACAAACAACAACAACAACATAAACCAGGAACATGAGGAGATAAGACAATGGACAAGATAGAAAAGAGAAACATTTAGTAGGCAACAGAAACATCTACTATGGCTTCTAATACTTAAAAAAAAAAAATCGGGAAGTGGCTCTGTGGCTCCAGCTGTAGAGTGCTTGCCTTGAGCTAAAGAGCTGAAGGACAGCACCCAAGCCTAGAGTTCAAGCCCCACGACCAACAGAAAAAAAAAATCAGACATAAAATGCTAAGTAAAATAACTAAGCTTACTATCCTTGAGTAGATAAAAGACTAAATAAAAAAGAGAGTAGAGAACTAAAAGTGTAAAAAAATAATTTAGCTTCTTTTCTTTGTGCCAGTCCTGGGGCTTGAACTCAGGGCCTGGGCTCTGTCTCTTAACCTTTTTACTCAAGGCTTGTGTTCTACCACTGGAGCCACACTTCTACTTCTGGCTTTTTTGGTGGTTAATTGGAGATAAGAATCTCTATGGACTTTCCTGCCAGGCAGGAAAGTTGTGGCTTGGAACCACAACTCTCAGATCTCTGCCTCCATAGTAGCTAGGATTATAGGCATGAGCCACCAGTACTCAGCTTTACATTTTTTTTTTAAGTGGGGAAAATGGGAGGGGATATATAATTAAAGAAGGAAAGGAAATCACTGCTCTGTTTCCATCAAATGAAAGAAAGATATAGACTTAGTGCTTGAGAATCCTCAAGACACACATCAGGTAGTGACACACCCCTGTGATCCCAGCACTTGGGAGGCTGAGGCAGGTGAGCTAAACAGTAAGACCCTATCTTTTTTTTTTTTCTGGTCATGGGGCTTGAACTCTGGGCCTGGGCACTGTCCCTGGGCTCTTCAGCTCAAGGTGAGTGCTCTACCGCTTGAGCCACAGTGCCACTTCTGGTTTTCTAATGGTTTATTGGAGATAAAGAGTCTTGGGCTTTCCTGCCCGGGGCTGGCTTTGAACCGTGATCCTCAGATCTCAGCCTCCTGAGTAGCTAGGATTACAGTCGTGAGCCACCGGCGGCGCCCTGCAAGACCCTATCTTTGATAGACAGCCCAGAACACCACAATGACAGGATTCCCCCAAAACACTTATTAACCAATAGAAATCAGATTTAGGCCAGGGGTTTTAGTGATAGCACTGGACGCTAAAAGCTGACAGAAGAATACCTGTAGGGATCTGAGGTAAATGATTCTGAGCCCAAACACAAGTATTGCAACCAAACTGAAAAAACTACACAGCAAGACCTTGAAGGGATTGTGAGAACTGACATTGTACCCTTCTTTACTTCAACTCCTCGCACCCTCTCATTGTTGCTCTAAGCAGCTAGCTATTTCCTTTACTCTTGGAGTTCTACCCCAAGCCTTTGTATCTGCCCTCCCTCTGCCTACATGCTCTCCCCTCAAGCCTAACTTCCTTGGGCCCCTTTTCTGTCTATGCTGATTTTTTTTTTGGGGGGGAGTCAGTCATGGGGCTTGAACTGCATAGGTATTGTCCCTGAGCTCTTCAGCTCAAGGCTAGCACTCTACCACTTGAGCCACAGCAATACTTCTGGTTTTCTGGTGGTTTATTGGAGATAAGAGTCTCACACACTTTCCTGCCCGGGCTGGCTTTGAAACTGTGATCCTCAGCTCTCAGCCTCCTGAGTAGCTAAGATTACAGGTGTGAGCCACCAGTGCCTGGCTCTCTTTTAATTTTTTTCCAGTATATTTTTACAATGTGTTCTATATATGATGAGTCTGTCTCTCTCCACAAGAAACCAGATCCATAAAGGGGAATGTAGGTAGCCTTGCAAACTGAGGCTATACCATGCTTAGAATATCTTGACCAGAACAGGGCCTATACAGTAATTACTAAATGAATACATGAATAACTGAAGGCAAGTGCTAATGTAGATCTCCCATTCTTTGCCCCTACCTCAAATATCTAGGCACTGATCTCAAGTCCATTATTTTCTTTCCATTCCCATACTCATCCACCTACAAAGTCTTGTTGGCTCTATTGCCAAAATATATCTTCTATCTGTCTCCTTGAGCTTCTCCAAGGCCAACACTGACCTAAACACTTCCACCTATTCCTTGGACTGCTGCAGAAAATGTCTTCATGAGTATTCTCTTTCAGTTCATGTCAGTTCTGTGCCAACTCTAAGGGTTCTAGACTCAGGACTCAGGATCCTCAGGAAATGCCAAGGTCTACCTCTTACCTCCTCTTATATCCCCATTGCTAGCTTCTTCTGTGGCATCACAAAGGCCTCAGGTATGCCAAGACTTCTTTCTGTCACTATTTGCTCCACGACTCTACAAAGCTGGCTCCTTCCTACCTTGGGCTTTACCTGAAATGTCCTCCCCTGAGCTCTTTCTTCCCTGACCAGTCCATCTTGGACATTTTTGTCTTACTATCTGCTATTTCTGTCCTCATACATGTCTGCCTCTAATACCTTGTTGCTCCAACTGCTATGTGTGCCTCCCTACCAGACTGTGTGCCCCACCAACAGGCAATTACTTTTTGTCCTCACCACCAAATGCAGTGTCCTGTAAGACAGCTTCTCTTGGTGCTAGATGTGAAACACAGCCCCCATGCTCCTAAGCCCCAGACCCTGGCTCCTGTCCAGTCACAGAGTACCAGCATGCTAGCCTCTCATTGAATGTGGGACCCAGGACTGGGGGCTTGAAATCGCATGGGAGAAATTTCAAAGTACTTTAGTTTAAAAAAGAACTCTACCTTCATATGTCAAGAAGAGCCTTGTGGCAAGAATGAAAGAAGCACCTACCACTACTGTTGACTCCCACTGGCTTCCAGTGGAGCAGTGAACTGGACCCAGTAAGTCCTTGCATATTTCTCGGAGTCGGTATTCAAAGCCTAGTTAAAACAAAACAAAACAGAAATCAAGATCAAAATCAAAATCAAGACGATTCTAAGTTTATATATATACATATATATGTATGTGTATATATATATATATATATATATATACATACATATATATAAATAGACTTTATTGACTTCTATGAGCAAAACACCTCTGTGTCTTAGTGGCTCCACAATCAGATTCCCCCATCCATTCACCTAAAGTCCCAGACAATACATGCAGCATTTTCTCTGTGGGCTGGGCCCAAGAGAAATGAGACATGGAAAGTTCTATGATGAACTAACTAGGGAGGTGAGAAACCATGGAAATTGTGGCAGGTGGGGTATAGGCTGGTGGGATCTATTTGAGAGAAAACAGGTCGTCTGGTAGGAGAGAGGTGATAAGAAGGGTCAGAGGTGGCCTGCGAGTTGATGATGACGCTCATCTTTATAGTAGCACCGAGTGTGAAAGTGTCAAACCTCTCCCACTGCAACGTGGGTGGAGTGGCCAGAAAGCTTGGCAGCACTCTAAGGGTTTTGGCCATAGGAGAGGATAGATGAAGCTAGAATCTGAGGAATGTTGGGAAGTGAATGTGATCTCACCTGATTTCTCCTCCGACAGTCAGGACAGAGAGTGGGGGACTAGTGTGTGGTGCAGGAGACACTGGAACATGTGTGGAGGACAGAAAAGTAATAGTGAGCAGTAGAAGGTAGAGCCTAGAAGAGGCAGGCCTAGGTGTGGGCATCAGGATGTCTTGCTCAACCCCAACGAAGGGCAAGCTGTAAAGGAGGTGTTCTGGGGGAAATGGGTGCAAGGCCCAAGATGTGACTGGAGTATACCAGGAATGAGGACTAGGGAGGCCAAGTATTTAGGAAAACTGGTGACTACATCTTTTGGGCAGTGACACAGGTAGGGTGGGAGAGCAGAGTCACTGGGGAGGGTGGTGGAACCAGCTATGTCTGTTATTAGTATATGTGTACAGAAACACATATGCTCAGATTTATAGGGGTCATTTAAGTTGGCAATTGGGTACATTGTTCTCGTATTTATTATTTTTGTACTTTTTCTTGGTACTGGGGTTTGAACTCAGTATCTGCCTAGCAAGGACAAAGCAGGTTTTCTACTCCAGAGCCAGGCCTCTAGGATTTTTTGCACTGGTTATTTGTTTTCTTTGGTCCTGGGGCTTGTATTCTAGGCTTGGGTGAGATACTGGAGCTTTTGTGCTCAAGGCCAGCACTCTACCATTTGAGCCACAACTCTACTTCCAGAGGTTTTTCGTAGTTTAATGGAGATAAAAATCTTAGACTTTCTGGAAGTGGCACTGTGGCTCAAGCGGTAGAGCGCTATCCTTGAACTGAAGAGCCAAGGGACAGCGCCCGGCCCAAAGTTCAGGCCCCATGACCGGCAAAAACAAAAAAACAAAAAAACTTAGACTTTCTTCCCAGGCTGCCTTTGAACTGCAAGCCTCAGAGCGAAGTAGCTAGCAATACAGGCATGACTAAATGGTGCCTGGCTAAACTAGTTTGTTTTTTGTTGTCAGTTGTAGGGATTGAACTCTGGGCCTGTACACTGTCCCTGAGCTGTTCAACTTAAGGCTAGTGCTCTACTACTTGAGGCACAGCACCACTTCTGGTTTTCTGGTGGTTAATTGGAGATAAGAGTGTCAGGCTGGGCGCTAGTGGCTCACGACTGTAATTCCAGGCAATCAGGAAGCTAAGATCTGATGATCACGGCTCAAAGCCAGCCCAGGTAAAAACATCTGTGACATTCTTTTCTCCAATTATCCACCAGAAAACCAGAAGTGGTGCTGTGCCTCAAATGGTAGAGTGCTAGCCTTGAGCTGAAGAGCTTAGGGACAGTACCCAGACCCACAGTTCAAGACCCATGAGTGACCAAAAAAAAAAAAAAAAGTATCTTGGACTTTCCTGCCAAGGCTGGTTTGAACCATGATCCTCAGATCTCAGCCTCCTAGTAGCTAGGATTATAAGTGTGAGAGTCACCGGTGCCTGGCTTGCACTAGTTCTTTTTTTTCTTTTTTCTTTTTTTTTTTACTGGTTGTGGGGCCTGAACTCTGGGCGTGGGTGCTGTCCTTCAGCTCTTCAGCTCAAGGCTAGTGCTCTACCACTTGAGCCACAGCGCCACTTGTGGCTTTTTCTGCATATGTGGTGCTGAGGAATCGAACCCAGGGCCTCATGCATGCAAGGCAAGCACTCTACCACTGAGCCACCTTCCCAGCCCCTATTTTTTTGTTGGTCATGGGGCCTAAACTCTGGGCCTGGGTGCTATCCCTTAGCATTCTACCACTTGAGCCACACCGCCACTTTTTTGGCCTTTTCTGTTTATGTGGTGCTGAGGAATCAAACCCAAGGCCTCGTGCATGCAAGGCAAGCACTCTACCACTGAGCTACCTTCCCAGCCCCTGCACTAGCTATTATTATTTTTTTTGGGGGGGGGGGTACCGGTCGTGGGGCCTGAACTCTAGGCTGGGCGCTGTCCTTCAGCTGTTCAGCTCAAGGCTAGCGTTCTACCAATTGAGCCACAGCGCCACTTCCGGCTTTTTTCTTTTTTCTTATTTGGTGCTGAGGAATTGAACCCAGGGCCTCAGGCATGCAAGGCAAGCGCTCTACCACTGAGCCACCTTCCCAGCCCCTGCACTAGTTATTTTTAAAAGAGGGTTTTTTTTTCTGCCCTCATTTGTGTCTGGCCAATAACCCACCTAATTGTCTTGTGGACTTTTTCTTCCCAGGTTAGGCCAGGAGTGTGCTCCTCCCAATTTTAGACACCTATTGGTTGAAAAAGGGTCTTGCGTGTATATACCTGTATTGGCCCCAAACTACCATCCTCCTGATCTCAGCTTCCCAAGTAGCTAGGATTAAGGTGCAAGCCACTGGCATCTGGATCCCTCCCCCAACTCCCCCTGCTCCGGCCTTAACTCATATATAGAATGGGAAGGGTAATGACAAGAACAAAGTAAAAAGGCCTAGAAAGACTGTGGAAGAAACACTTGAACTGGGTGTGGGGCTGTACAGGTCACAGGGAGTGGTTTGGTAGGGCCAGTCACTACAGGCTTAGCTCTAGTGGGAAGAATGGCTGGTAAGATAGGATGGGAGTCCTGCCCAGAGGTTACTTCACAAAGAGTACAGTTGCTTCTTCCAAGCACACTTGGTTTTTGTGAGGGATGCTGCTGAGGGGGCACAAGTACTCTTGAGAATCCTGGGATGGCCTAGGCTGGAGGGCCATAGGGAGTTACTGGTCATCAGGCATGACCTTTCAAGCAGGAAGGGCTCAAAGAAGGGATGTAATGCTGTCAACATTCGATCTCACCTTCATTTACAAGGTACCGTGCGTAGAGGAGGAGCCAATGGCGGTACTCGTGGCTAGACTGCAGGGTAAGTGCTGCTGCAACCTGGTTCTCTAGGTAGGCCAGCGTGGTCTCTTGCTGTACCACATGAGGCACGGAGAAGAGCCGGGCAGCTTGCCTTCCAGAGCTGCAGAGATGGGCAGAGTGGGGTCAATGAGGTAGAGGGCAGTTCATGGGTGTGGGAAGCTATTTCTATGTGCCTGAGCAATATTAAGGCATATAGGCTGTCTGAGGCCTCCCATCTATAAGCCAGTCTCTTGGAGATGCCACAGACTGCTGACCTGCCCATCCTTACCCCAGTTAGGTCACTTGGTACTCTAGGATTTTCCTCCTCTGCATATGCTTTCCAAGTTCCCGAGATAACAGGTCAGTAGCCTATTTCCCCTTCCCAAAGAGCTGGTAAAACATCATAGATCATAGATTACAGATTAAAGATCATAGATCTTTACCACTCACTGAGTGTCACCTGGGCCTTTGAAGTGATAAGGCCTGTGTTTCAGCCACCCCTAAAGTACTACATGATAAGGGTCCACAACTCTTGGACATTCTGCCCGAGCTGAGCAGTTGTTGGAGTGCAGGAGACTGAAAACCAGAGCAGGCCTAGCCACTTCTCAGGGGCAGCTGTTCTGGCAGTGGCCATGGCTCTCAGTTCACGTACTTGGAGGTGCGGCCCTGGATTATGGCTAACGGTCCTGAGCACAGCATGGCATCCTGGGATGGTAGGCTGTTCCTAAAGTCCGCACACTGCGCCAGTGAGTCCTGCTTGTCAGAAACTAGGTTCCTGGGGAGGCAAAGTTAGGAACAGAGGTCAGGGAAATTAGAAGGCCAGAGGAGGCTGAGAGACACTGCCCTCCAACATAGGTACCCACCGATGGCAGGTTTCTGAGTCATGGGCCTGGCAGATAATTTTTCCCAAAGAAAAATTATCTCACTGCGAACACTTCAGCTCCAGGCCTACTGCCTGATGACCGAGAGGCCTCTATATGTACAGTGTATTAGGAGGCCTGGGCCTGCTTCAGCAGCCAGGGAACATCAGGCCTTCACCATTCCTGTGCCTCTCCAACATCCCTGGCAGGCAGTTCTTCCTCATTCTAAGGGAGAGATCCTTCATTATCACTGTTAAAAAACATTCTCCATAAAACATCTATGCATTTTTGCAAATGTATTAAAAAAGTTTATTATGGCTATTCCTTCCTCCTCCCCACCCCTTTTTAAAGTCCGGGTCTTGCTAGGCTGTCTCTAAATCATCCTGTCTCAACTTCCTTAGTGCTGGGATTATAGCCATGTACCACCACACACAGTCTGTCTTTCCTTAAATAACCAGCTTGTTTCCATTATTAAAGTAATCACACATAATATACAGCTTGTTACAATTTGAGCAAGCTAGCGTAGAGGTTTATTATTTTTCTTTTTTAAAGAAAAAACAACAGCGTTGAAGAACACTAAACTCTCAGTGTGAGTATGAACTTGTACTTGAAAACTCTTGGGCTGCCGGGCGCTGGTGGCTCACGCCTGCAATCCTAGCTACTCAGGAGGCTAAGATCTGAGGATTGCGGTTCAAAGCCAGCCCGGGCAGGAGAGACTGTGAGACTCCTATCTCCAATAAACCACCAGAAAACCGGAAGTGGTGCTGTAGCTCAAATGGTAGAGCGCTTGCCTTGAGCTGAAGAGCTGAGGGATAGCGTCCAGGCCCAGAGTTCAAGCCCCACAACCGACAAAAAAAAAAAAAAAAGAAAAGAAAACTCTTGGGCTGGTATGTAGCTCAGTGGCAAAGCGCTTGACTAGCAAGTGCAATGTCCTGGGTTCGATCCCCAGTACAAAAAATAAGAAAAGACAAAAAAATAAAGTTTTTTTTTAAAAAAAAAAGAGGGGCTGGGAAGGTGGCTCAGTGGTAGAGCACTTGCCTTGCATGCCTACGGCCCTGGGTTCGATTCCTCAGCACCACATAAGCAAAAAGAAAAAAACCGGAAGTGGCGCTGTGGCTCAAGTGGTAGAACACTAGCCTTGAGCTGAAGAGCTGAGGGACAGCGCCCAGGCCCAGAGTTAAGGCCCCATGACCGGACTCTCCCCCCCAAAAAAGAAAACTCTTAACAGAAAAGAAGCTAGAAAATAGCAAGCTTTGGGTCTGAAAGACCAAAGGTATAGGCAGAGAGAAAGAATTTCTTGGAGTGGCTGGTATATAATCTACATAAATTCAAATCTGTGATGTAGCTGGGCACCAATGGCTTATACCTATTAATTCTAGCTACTCAGGATGATGAGAACACTGATTGCGATTTGAAGCCAGCCCAGGCAGGAAAGTCCATGAGACTCTTATCTCCATTTAACACCAAAAAGCCAGAAGTGGACTAGTAGAGTGCTAGTCTTGAGCAAAACGTCTCAGGGACAGCACCTAGTCCCTGAGTTCAAGCCCCAGGACCCTCCCTCCCTCCCTCCCTCCCCCTTCTCTCTTTATCTCTCTCTCTCACACACACACACACATACACACACACACACACACAAATAAAATTAAAAAATTGTGATGAGCTGGGTGTCGGTGGCTCACGCCTGTAATCCTAGCTACTTGGGAGGCTGAGATCTGAGGATCAAGGTTCAAAGCCAGCCCGGGCAGGAAAGTCTGTGAAGTACTGCTATGGCTCAAGTGGTAGAGCTGAAGAGCTCAGGGACAGCACCCAAGCCCAGAGTTCAAGCCCCACCACTGACAAAAAAATAAAAAAATAAATAGTGATGTACAAGGTAATTAGCTGACACCAGAAAATTATGCTCAAGGACTCCCCTGAACATGGGGCGGCAGCGTCCCCATGGAGATGGCAGGGCATGTACTGGCTATTACTGTGGAGTGCAGGAGCCAGGTCTCAAAAGCAGGGCCAGGCAGGCCTGACCACCAGGACCCAGAACCCTTGCTCAGCCATCCATTGCAGAATAACACTCCCAGGGATCCATGCGGGGAATCAGCTTCTTACCATGTAGAGAGTGACGGATTAAAGCAGTATGCCTTCCCATCAGACAAGTTCATCACCGGGATTCCATGCTGCGTCAACAAGATCTGTGACACTGTCATATCACTTCCTGGGGGGACACCACAGAAATAAGTTCCATGTGGTCTGATCAGCAAGCATTTGCATATTGAACCCTGACTTCTATTATCCCCTAAGAAGCCTCAATGAGTGTGGCAACTAGGGATGTCTGCTTGGTACTCTTAGTGAGTATTTTTAATATCCACGAGGATCTTTGTCACCTCCTAGGGACCCACATAGCGTGTCTCCTTTCTATCTATGAAAGTATACCCCTGCCCCTGGGAGACATGGGCTAGACCCCAAAGCTGAAGGAGCTTATCTGTGTCAGACCTGGAACTCAGGCTCCAGGCAAGGGATGAGTGTCTACAGTAGGCCTTACCTGCCAAGATGGAGTGTAGAGATTCTTCTTTTACTATGACCATTTGCCTGTGAACATCCCTAAGAGGAAAACAGAAAACATATTATTCCCCACTTGATATAAATACACTTTAGTGTCTTGGCTGCCCAGACACTGTGATCCCATGTGTCCTTAGCCTTTTACCCAGGTGTACAGAATAGATCCTGGGTAACAGAGCTCCAGGACCACTCTAATGTTCACACCCACTCTGGGAGAAGTAGGATATAGCCATACCAGGAGTGGGGCTCCCATTTGCTAGCTCACATCCCACTGTTGATGAACCCATCTGAGAACACTGGCACAGGCCATTGGGCAGTGAGAATTTTCCTGGCCTGCTCCTATAAGGATGAGTGGGGAAAAGAGGCTGTCCTTCAGCGCCTTGCACAGTCTACAAGGGTGGCCAATATAAATGATGATATTTAACCCAATGGCAGCCTGCTTCCATGTGTTGCCTGCCTTGAGGAGACCAAGAACCTGCTTTGCCCTGCCCTGCCCAGCCTGGAGACCATCCCACCACCCTAGGACTATTTCTCACCAGACTGACAGTGTGGCAGCAGCAGTGAGCGCCATGACGTAGGAACCCGTGCAGTGCAAAGTAGAGATGGGGGAAGGCAAGAGGATGGGAGGGAGGAGGCGGCGACCACAGGTGGAGAACACTGACAGCATCCTTTTTTCACAGGCAACACATACCACGTCACTGTGGAGGTAGAGGTGGGCAGATGTCATGGGGACTGGATGCAGAACTTGGAGGTGCAGAGCCTTGCCTTGCCTCTGCTCTGCTTGGGATCTCAGCAGAAGGAGAATTCTGTCTTCTTGCTTACATAGGGCCATCCTTACTAGTATCAATCTGAGCTCACTAACACTGCTAAAGGGGTGCAGGCTGGGGAGAGCCAGTGTATCAGTGGTCAGCTAGGAAGGAGGCCTTACTTATCACATGAGGTCAGAGTGACTATAGGATAGTCTTTGTGCATGAAGGCAGAGAGGAGTGAGGATTACCAGTATGAGATTTCTTTTTTTTTTTTTTTTGGGGGGGGTGTCCAGTCGTGGGGCCTGAACTCTGGGCCTGGGCACTGTCCCTCAGCTCTTCAGCTCAAGGCTAGCGCTCTACCACTTGAGCCAGAGCGCCACTTCTGGCTTTTTTCTTTTTGCTTATGTGGTGCTGAGGAATGGAACCCAGGGCCTCTGGCATGCAAGGCAAGTGCTCTACCACTGAGCCACCTTCCCAGCCCCCAGTATGAGATTTCTCAGAAGACACCTATCACACACTGAAGGCTGTTAGGGTTGGACACTGCCCAAGGCCTCACTTAAGGATCCACCAGGTTCTCAGTTGGGCCCAACACAAGGAGGTACTTCCACTTCCATCCCAGTGAAGGTTCTCTGAGGTCAGCTACAGGTGCAAGGGAGGCTGGAGCCCAACACCCAGCAGTGGAAAGGTATGCACCAGCACAGAGAGGTCTTGACCACAGCAGGCCGGCTAGTCTCCTCTAATGACTTCTATCCAGTGGATCCAAGGCCTGTGGTTGGCCAAGGGTGAGGTTGCTCCTGCCCCAGTAGGCCCTTAGCAAAAAGGTCAGCTAATGGAAGAGCTCTGCCAATTTTTTCCTACTGAGTTATGTGAATGGCTTCCCAGAAGGGAGGGGCAAGTGAGATGTTTTTGGTCCAACTGTTTTTTTTTTTTTCTTTTGTTTTTGTCGGTCGCGGGCTTGAACTCTGAGCTTGGGTGCTGTCCCTGAGCTCTTCAGCTCAAGAAAAACTTACCACTTGAGCCACAGCGCCATATCTGGTCTTTTGGTGGTTAATTGGAGACAAGAATCTCACAGACTTTCTTGCCTGGGCTGGCTTTGAACTGCAATCCTCAGATCTCAGCCTCCTGAGTAGCTAGTATTACAGGCGTGAGCCACTATTGACTGGTCTTCCAACTATTTTTAAAGTATGAATCTGAGAGAACACTGAGCAGGACCCAGAAGCACAGAGTTAGAGCTCTCTGTGGTGCAGTGACTGGCCTCTGTCTGCTTATTTCTCAAGGCCAGGGCCTCTCTAAGCCAGTTTGCTGCAAAGAAAGCTGACAATCTGGGTTGTAGGATGAGCCTGGGTGGTCAAGCCTGTAAGAGAGTACAGGGCTCCCCTTAGTGGTTGCTGTATTACTACAAGGGAATCCTTGGTCCCCAGATGGGGCCAGACACCTGCCTTGAAACCAGAGATGGAGAGTGGAGACCACAGCAGCACCCAAGGCATAGGTATTTGGGAGTGCAGTGTGCTTGTCTTGAGGGAAATCTTGAAGGAAGAACAGGAGGGTGGGGTCCTTCTGGGCCTAATGCCATGAACTCACTGAAGCCCATAAAAATCCTGAACTAGGGGCTGGGAAGTTGGCTCAGTGGTAGAGCGCTTGCCTTGCATGCCTGAGGCCCTGGGTTCGATTCCTCAGCACCACATAAGCAAAAAGTGCTGTGGCTCAAGTGGTTGAGCGCTAGCCTTGAGCTGAAGAGCTGAGGGACAGCACTCAGGCCCAGAGTTCAGGCCCCATGACCGGACCCAAAAAACATGAAAAAAAAAAAAAATCCTGAACTAGGGCCCGGATTTGCAGAGACAAACAAACGCATGCATATGTGACCTCATGAAAGACACCTGAAGGTCTAATTAAAATGATTTTCTGGGCTGGGAATGTGGCTTAGTGGTGGCCTAGCATGTATGAAGCCCTGGGTTTGATTCCTCAGAACCACATAAGGCAAAAAAAGCCAGAAGTGATGCTGTGGCTCAAGTGGTAGAGTGCTAGCCTTGAGCAGAAGCTCAGGGGGCAGTGCTTAAGCCCTGAGGTCAAGTCCCAGGACTGGCAAGAAACATAAAAAAGGTTTTCTGAGGGAGCATGGTGTTACTGCCATGATAAGTGTCTGTCACATGGTCCTGACTGGCTCTATGTTTGCAAGCACTTAAGGAAAATATTAGTCATCTTACAGGTGAAGTACAGGAAGGATGGAGCTCACTGAGCCATAAAGAGCTTAGGTGATTAACCACTGAATTAGGACCTGTTAGGATCTTTCTATGGAAAGAAGTAATTCTGAGGACAGGTTAATCCATCCTGGCTGCCTTGAATGAAAATGTGGGGTCGAGGCAAAGAATCTGTCAAGGCTAGTCTGGAAGTTGAGACTTCAGAATCTGGCCAACTAATGGAATAAAACCATCAAGTTTAAATCTTAGGTTGGGTATCTCTCAAGGAAGGGCTCAGGTTCTCCATCTAGATTATGAGGACAGTGACACAAACTTCATTGAGATGACAAAAGCATATGCTAGCCTGGAGGGAGGCCTGGTACGGAGCCTCTGTGTGAGCCGTTCTCTCAGACAGGCTGCACTCCAGGACAGTAACAGCATCCCACAGCACAGCATGTGGTGCCTGCTCTACGTGGTAAGCTAGCCCTTGCCTGCACTTACCAGCTACCAGCGGCAGTGAGGATCCGGCTGGTGAGCACCGTCTCCCACTCCTTCCCTTCCCTGTTGCACTTGAGGCGGCTCAGCCTCACTCCTGCCACAGCCGTCACTTCATTCTCCACCTCAATATACATGGAAGGGTCAGAGCTCACCTGGATGGAGGAAAGCAAACACATATCTTCTCATGAGACAGTATACCATATAGGAGGTGATCCCAGGACAGGTGAGATCCTTGGGCTCTGTAGCTGTGGGCTCTGAGGCAGGGCAGACACAGACAGACCAGCTGGCTGACCAACAGATGGTAACAGATGGTCAGGGAAGGGGGATTCCACTCAGAGGAGTGGCTTATCCAAGAACTCAATGTAAGGATGTAGCTAGGCAGAGACAGAGCTGGGAGTGAAGACCTAAGATTGTTAGCCCCCTACTTTGAAGGATCTTCAAAGACTGTAGTATTTGGTACAAGAACCATGGTAGTTCTAGGAGGCAGGTCTAGAAACTCCTAAAGTATTCTCCAGTCTGTGGCAGTGAGCTTGATGTGCTCATATGAGACCAGGATGACACAAAATTCCCTAGCACAACAGGGTATTAGGACCATGACATGGGCCTAATTTAGTGCCCAGGGCCAAGTGGGCTCAACTGGAAAGCTGACTAACTGATGTTTCAATGCTGAAAACAAAGCAGACAACAGCCAGGAGCCATGCTCTTTTTAGACATTTTCAAACCAAGGAAAGCCCAATGCGGCACATGGAGGAAAGCTAGGTGTTTAGAGGAGTTCTCAGCTGCTGACCACTAGAGATGCCCCTTGCCTCTGCTGACATTAGAAACAAGTTCAAAGTGCATGAGTCTCCTTCACTTCCACCTACTCTACTTCTCTGCAACATGGTTCCAAGGACCTATGGCTGATGAAGATTGATAGTAAGAGCTACCTTGGCTGTTAGGACTTCAAGGGCAAAGCCAGAGAGAGAAAGACATGAAGGTAGGGACATTGGAAGCTAGCACATACATTAAGATTTGGTGGGTCTGGGTACCAAGGGCTCACATCTATATTCCTAGCTACTCAGGAAGTTGAGATCTAAGGATCTTGGATCAAAGCCAACCCTGGCAAGTAAGCTTGAGACTCCTCAAATTAATCACCAAAAAGCTGGTAGTAGTAGAGCATCAACCTTGAGTTTTGAAAGGGATAATACCCAGGCCCTGAGTTCAAGCCCTAGGACTGGAAAAAGGCAGGTGCGGGTGCTTAGTGATAGACTGCTTGCCTAACAATCTATCCTGGGTTCGATTTCTCAGTACCACATAAACAAAAGAAGCTCAGGGGCAGTGCCCAAAAAGAGAAAAGAAAAAAGTTGCTGGGTGCTGGTGGCTCATGCCTGTAATCCTAGCTCTGTAGGAGGCTGAGATCTAAGGATCAGTTCAAAGCCAGCCTGGGCAGGAAAGTCTGTGAGACTCATGGCTCCAATTAATCACCAGAAACTGGAAGGGGCACTGTGGCTCAAGCAGTAGAGAGCTTGCCTTGAGCTGAAGAACTCAGGGACAGCACCCAGGTTGAGTTCAAGCCCCACAACTGACAACAACAACAACAAAAATTGTTAAGTACTCAGGTTCCCTATGACTGTCTCCTAAAGGAGAATGGAGAGCCACAGTCCTCAAGGCAGTTGTACACCCAGAGGATAGGGGGGTGGGTGAAGGGTCCCCACATTTACCTGGAGAGTGAATGCTCGCTGGGGGCTTGGAACAGGCAGCTTCAATGTAAGTGCTGGTGCAGACAGACACATAGCCTCCTTCTCTGCAGTCAGGGCAGCTGGAGACTGGAAGAGACAGATACAAATCTGAGCCCCACAACAACACTACAGGGGTTGTCGCCCAGAAGTGAGGCTGGACCTGCTCCCAGAGTATTCCTGCTTTACCAGGGGACCTACTTATGGACTCTGGGTAGGTGGAGGGCAGGTGTATATGTGTCTAAGTGGCTGGCTCCTACAGTGTCCCACACTGCTGTGTACCAGGGCATACCAGGGCATCGTCCCCAGCACTGAGCACAGCCAGGGAGCTGGGGCCAGGGTAGGCAGGTTCCTGTAGACCTCACCTGGACAGACAGGGACACGGGCAGGAGACGGGCGTCTTTCCGAGGGCGCCCTTTCTTCTTCTTTTCCACAGTCTCTACCTCCAGCTCAAGTTTTCGCTTAGACAGGGAAGAGGGCTTGGATAAGGGGGCCTTTTCATCACTGTCACTGCTGCTTTCCAGGAGGTCTCGGGGCCTCAGGTCTTTCATAAGGTTCTGATCTTTCAACCTGAGCAAACATAGACACCCATGTCTCTCCATACAACTAATTTTATAATTTAAATTTGTAACTGATAATTTTATAAATAATACACTTAGACTTTTATAATTAAAACCTACATTCTTGCCAAAATGTGACTATAGAGAGGAATTCTGGTTTCTACTCCAACACACAAACAACTTGGAGGCTGGGATGGGAAGGTGGCTCGGTGGTAGAGTACTTGCCTTGCATGCATGAGGCCTTTGGTTCCATTCCTCAGCATCACATAAACAGAAAAAGCCAGAAGTGGAGCTGGGGCTCAAGTGGTAGAGTGCTAGCCTTGAGCTGAAAACCTCAGGGACAGTGCCCAGGCCCAGAGGTCAAGCCCCACAACTGACCAAACAAACAAACAAAAAGAAACTAGAGGCTGAGACTAAAATCAGAGAGCCAACATCACTCATTAGATCAAAGAATTTAAAGAACTGTCATGTTGCTAGACGCTAAGGGTAGACAAGCTCCTGGGAGCCAGTGGTAGGAGGGTAACTACACATTTCCTATGTCTTCTGAACTTTCTTGCTCATAGCTGTTTTTCTTTCCAATTGAGCCACCAGCATGGCTTAGTTGGAGAAGGAATCTTTTCTGCCCTGGCTGGGTTTGAACTGTGATCCTCCGGCTCACAGCTTCCTGAGGAGCTATGATTACAGGTATGAGCCATTAAGCCAAGTTTTTAAATTCTGATGAAATCCCGCTTAATTGTAAAACTAGTTGTAGGTGCTTTGGATATCATAGCTAAGAAAGTCACCTACTATAAGGTCATACTGATTTCTGTATTTACTTTGAAGAAATTTATAGTTTTAGTTCTTACTTATAGTAC